GGCTCTTTAGACACAAATTTGGCCCGTCCGGTGAGTTATCCAGGTATAAGGCCCGATGGGTGGTCCGCAGATTCAATCGGCGTTTTGGCGTCGACTACAGCGAAACCTTCAGCCCCGTGATCAAGCCTGCCACGGTCCGCATTATCCTTAACCTCGCATTGTCTCGTGGGTGGCCCATCCATCAGCTAGATGTCAAATATGCTTTCCTCCATGGACAGCTTCAGGAAACCGTGTATGCCATCCAGCCTTCAGGATTTCAAGATCCTGAACGACCTCATCATGTCTGTCGCCTCAAGAAAGCCCTTTATGGCCTGAAACAGGCACCCCGGTCATTATGATAGACTATCTTCAGGCTTACTCTGATGCTGATTGGGCTGGATGTCCTGACACCAGACGTTCTACTTCCGGGCATTGTATCTTTCTGGGCGACAACCTAATCTAATGGTCATCCAAACGCCAGGCTACCACGTCGCGGTCCAGTGCGGAGGCCGAATATCAGGCTGTGGCTAATGTAGTTGCTAAGACATCCTGGATTCGGAATCTCCTCCTAGAGCTCCAGCAACCCCTCCGGCGTGCAACACTTGTCTTCTGTGATAATGTCAGTGTTGTATACCTCTCCTCAAATCCAGTTCAGCACCAGCGCACCAAGCACGTTGAGGGCGACTGTAACGCCCCGAAATCTGGCCCAAAAGAATTAATTAAATTGTTAGAGCAATTGATTACAAATTGGGCCCAAAAAGGGGTTAAAATTATAATTTGGATTCTAAGCCCAACTTTTATGTCATCTCGTAGGAAATATTTTTGTGATCGCGTCGGTTCAGACGGCTCGCAAATCGGAGTTTTGGAGCTCATGTTATGACCATCTAATCAGGTATTTCGGGTCCGAAGCCCAATCCTTTTAGGAATGGGATCATTAAATAAACCTAAACCTACCCGTCTTCCGTTCGGATCTGAGAGCCGCGCACTTCAGCGTCGCCTTCTCCTTCTTCATCTTCGATCGTCGCCGTGAGCCAGTCGCCGGTCGCCCTTCCCCAGCCAATCGCCGCCGCTTCTCCCTTGCCAGAGGTCCGCCGCTCACCGCCAGGTCCAACGCCGCCGACCACGGTTCCCAATCTTCGAGCCGCGGTCGTCGCCTGCACTGCCAGCGTCGGTCGTCCACCGCCGTCGGGTTGCAGCGCCGCTAGTCGCTGCCCATCGCCGTCGAGTTGCACCGTCGCCAAGCCTCCAGCCGCCGTCGCCCTTAGCTCAGGTCAGTCTCTTTTTCATCTTCCTCGCAATTTCCTCTGCAATTGGACCTCTGGAGCAGCGCCACGCCGGGTCGCCACCTTCGCCGGCGGTCGCTGCGACTCACCGGACTGATTCATCGCCGGTTCACCGTTGTTGCAGCTAGGGATTTCGACGGACAGAGGCTATCACCGGAGCTGCTCCTCTGTTTGTGATTTCTGGGAGCTGCTGCCGCCTCGCCACTGTACACCGGCGTCCGCCACCGTCGCCGCACCCAGCCGCTGCCCTGGGTTGATACCGCCGGCAGATTAATCTCCACGCTAGATCGATTGGTCGATTTCGTGTTTTGACTCAATTTGACCCGTTCGTTTGATTTCGTTGATTTGTCTTCCGTTCGAGCTATCGATTCGATTTCTACATAATCCAGGTCCGTACTATGAAGTTAATAGCGTTTAGAATAGATTTAATGGTTCGGATCATTATATATGTTTATGCTATAATTTGGCTAGATTTGGTTAATTGAATTAAATTGATTATTTGAATTGAATTGTTGAGGATTGTGAGTTGACTGAACAGGTTTGACATTGACTCGGGTTAGGTCACGTTTGACTTAGGCTTGGACTGGATATTCTGTTGACGTAGGTTTGACCTAATGGTTAAATCCAAGACTTTATTGAATTAATTAAGTTAATTAATTAATTCTAATCAGTAATTAGGATCAATTGGTTTATTATGTCGAACATAGAAACTGGCCATTGCTCGGGCGGCTGCCGGGTCTGGTCAGTGAGGTTAAGACGTGCGCACGAGGGTCTGTGATCTTGGGTTTGAGGCCATCGCCCAAGGGATCCTACCTTCACCGAATTGAGGCTATCTTCGGTATTACGGATTGAGGCTATCTCCGTCATATGCAATAAATGTTAAGTGGTTTGACTTTCGTGAAAGTCTAAATTGGTTTGACCGGTGGTCAAAGAGTTAATGAGAAACCCTTAACACCTAAATCGTTTGAAAAGAAAGAAAATAAATTGACTGTTGGTCAACCGTCTAAAGAACCGAATTTAAAGTTGAATTGATTTTTATTAAAAGGATAAACTTATGCATGATCTTAATCATTGAATTATTATGTTTATTCTTGTGCTACAATGGAGTGCCACTCAGCGTCAATGCTGAGCGGATAGCGTTGTTTTCCTTTTTGCTGTCCGTAGGTGATCAGATAGATGAACCTAGAGCCGATCCCGGAGGGCATTGAGGAGGAGATGTACGATGGCGTGGTTGTCTCTTTAATCTGTAGTTATGCTTTATTTAATTAACTTTAATGCTTATTATGTTTTCGGGCAAGATCCCAAGTTGTTTGACTTTAAAAAGGCTTCTGCATTATTTTAAATTACTCCGATGGATTTTTATATGTATTGATAGAATGTTTGTTTTAAATTGTTTTGAAAATGTTGTATATTCGGATACCAATCCAGTGGCACACCGGTCCGCTGTCTCACGGGTTTGGGTTATGCGGGTTGGGGTGTTACAGCGACATCCACTTTGTGTGTGATAAGGTCGCACTCGGCCACATAAGAGTTCTTCACGTGCCTTCCTCCTCTCAGTATGCCGACATATTCACCAAGGGACTGCCTTCCCTGCTCTTCCTCGAGTTCAAGTCTAGTCTGGGTATCCAACCACCTCCACACCCGACGTAGCCGGGAGCATGTTAAATATATTCTATATTTAATGTAAATATATTGTTTCCTATTATTATCTCCTACCTTGTATAGGAATAGAAATACCATGTAAATATAAACACATGTACTCCCACATATTCAATCAAGGAAATTAATCTTTCTACAGTAATTGATTGAATTTAATTTAATAATGTCCTTCAACCAAAGTGTTTTATGATCCAATTTAGTGACTCATATTGAAAGATAACCATGCAAGGATAGACAACGGAATATAAAAATTTTAACATCCTAATATGATTATCTCGCCCAGAATCACGTACTAAAACTTATAGTAAATAAGAAATTTATACCTTTCTCCGTAAGCGGTAAAAATGAAGAAGTCGTAGGAAGAGCGTTGAAAGTGCAAACGTAACTGTTCAAGCGTCCGGTCTCAAACTTTGACACACGAACAACGCCGGAGTCTACCACAATCTTTATGCTAGTAAAGATTATAGTAGTATAAAATATAAAGATTAAAATTGGGATAATAATAATCTTGTATATTTCTATAGAAAATATTTCTAATAATATTTAGAAAATATTATAGATATTTTCTATACACAAAATGATATTATTGGAACCCCAAATAATCACTTTCTCTCTCTAGAAAAATGAAGTGGCCGAAAAATTACACTTGCATCAATGAAGATGATGATCTTCACATCTATATAAAAAAAAATTTGTTCAAAGTGCCGTGTAATGCTTTTAATCATTTAACCTCTGATCGATATTAATTTTGCAATCTACCCATTGAGTTGGATCATTCGGTGGAATTCTTGTCCATCAAATTGGACAAGAATATAAACCTATTTATTTTTTCTTCATGTTTTGGTATGGAATAGAATTTAGAATGTAATATGTGTTGGAGTTGTGCCCTGATGGCCAACTGTTTATCATTATTCTATCATCTATAGGCAGATATAATATGTTTACACATCTCATTCTAATGTAAACAAATATTATATTCCTAGATTTATATTTAAAGATGTTTATCAGATAGTGTTATTCTGCTGATGAGACTAACATCTTGAAATAAAAGTGATGCTTTTAATCATTTAACCTCTTTTGTAGCATATGTCAAAAATCATTTTAATACAACAATAAAAGCAGTTTAGTGTGACAATGGAACAGAATATCGTAATTCACCACTTAAAAATATTTTTGACTCCTTAGGTATCCTCTTTCGTTTCGCGTGTCCTCACACCTGTCAACAGAACGGCCGAGCTGAGCGCACAATTCGTACCATCAACAACTCGGTCCGTTCACTCCTCTTCCAAGCCCAACTTCCACCTACTTTCTGGGTTGAGGCCCTTCACATGACAACCCATATTTTTAACATTCTTCCCACCACCACTTTACAAAATAAAACCCCCCACGCCTGTTGGAGTTGTGCCCTGATGGCCAACTGTTTATCATTATTCTATTATGTATAGGCAGATATAATATGTTTACACATCTCATGCTAATGTAAACAAATATTATATTCCTAGATTTATTTTTAAAGATGTTTATCAGATAGTGTTATTCTGCTGATGAGACTAACATCTTGAAATAAATATTTATCTAAATGTCCATAGTCGAGTATTAACGAGAGTGGGATATCGTTAATGCATGTGAGACTAGTGTGTGTTGGATGTTTGACTTAGTCTCATGGTCAATGACGGTGTGTTCGCATCCGCACATGGGCAGATATTATCTAGAGACAATAGGATGCCGGACTGACCCATTCTAAAGATGTTGCTTGAATTTTTAGTTCATGCTCTAAGCATCTTTAGCGCGACCACAGGTGTAACTATCCTTCGACTTGAAGTATTACGTTTTCTGCATATATGAACCCGCATACTTTGATGCATCGTCCTAAGCCATATGAAATAAGGATGGTATACAGGCTTTGTTTTGGGTATGCCGCAGCGCGTATTCAGAAACGTAGATTACGTACATTGGATTTGTCACTACTCTTTTAAAAGAGATTAATGTCTTATGGGGCCCACTGATAAGTTATGATTGAGGAAATTGCATGGCCATGCTGAGATGTTTTTATGACGTCTCTTCCTATTAGTCAAACTTGATAAATCAGTGAATGACTTAATGGATACAAGCTGGATTTTATTAATCTCTTGCATTAAGTTTAGACATTGAGGCAAAGGGATACAGTTACACGAAGTTTGAGTCGTGGAAAGGTTTTGACGGTGCAAACGTCTTAACTTATAATCTGGGGGCAATAATGTGTTGCTAGATACCGCTTATTGCTTATTGTATTGGTGCAGAGCCAATACTGTGGCCAGCTTTATAAGTGCCTATACGGGTCACACACTTTGGACAATTTAAGGAGTAGGATTAAACAATGGGATAATAAGTAATTTGTATATTTGTAAAATTAGTAAAATAAAATATTTTGGAGTATAATATATATTATATATATGGTTTATATATATATATATATATATATATATATATATATATAATATATGATAAAGCCGAAATATATATATAAATATATTATATATTGAATATTTTATTTTGGTATGTCATTTTAATTATGAAAATAATTATTTTGACATAAATTATTTGAAGTATATTTAGTATTTGTTTAAAAATGATATGGGTATTTTATTTGATTTAAAATTAATTTTATATTAATTTTTGGTGTCAAATAAAATACACTTTGAACATCTTTGTTCAAAATTTCGGCCATATCATCTTAAAGGTTGACAAATTGGTTTTAATTTGCTTGATTGATAATTTTTGGACTAATTAATTTTGTCATTTAGCTAATGACAAAAATAATGGAGCATCTTTGTTTTTTATTTAAAACACCACACCCTTAGCCTTTCATAATGATTTCAATTTTTATGGTGTTGTTCGGTCATAATTTTCTTGTGAGAGAAAATTTCTTTTATGTTCCATTAATATCATTTTGTGTATAGAAAATATCTATAATATTTTCTAAATATTATTGGAAATATTTTCTATAGAAATATACAAGATTATTATTATCCCAAATTTTAATCTTTATATATTATACTACTATAATCTTTACTAGCATAAAGATTGTGGTAGACTCCGGCGTTGTTCGTGTGTCAAAGTTGGAGACCGGACGCTTGAACGGTTACGTTTGCACTTTCAACGCTCTTCCTACGACTTCTTCGTTTTTACCGCTTACGGAGAAAGGTATGAATTCTTACTTACTATAAGTTTTAGTACGTGACTCTAGGCAAGATAATCATGTTAGGATGTTAAAATTTTT